CCAAATCCCTCGTACCAAACACATTCTTAAAGTAACCGTGTCTTGAGAGTTGGCACTGACCATCAGCCACTTAAATATTTTCTTTTTATAAAAAGCTATTATTATTAGTATGGGTTGAGTTTAGTTTTGAAATGTTGAAATTAAACTGGAATCCCAAGTTAAATAGCGGGTTGTAATAAAATCATATGAGAATTAATTTATAATTTAAGAAGATATTTTAGCAAATTAACACATTTTTATCAATATTTAATTTAACTAGCTTTTTCATCCAAATTAGCCAAGCAAATCTTTTATGTGTGTGTATATATAAATATCACATGTTTATTTAATCTTATAAAGTGTGGCATAGTAACACAATAAATAAATTAAAAAAAACATGGACAATGCTCTTTATATAGCTACACGGATATAACGTTTGATCACGTATGCAATGATATGAATAAAACAATGTTCATGTGGTATTTGAGGGCTAAAATCTTCCAACTATACTGTATAATTTATTGAGATTGCATAAAAAATTAAAAAAAAGGTGGACTAGCCTACCACCCTGCAGTGAAATGGGTTCAAGCGGTGCAGACTGAAATAGCCGTAGTTCTCACTCCTCTCAATCCTATCCTTTTCCTTTAATATTATTATTGGTTTAAATTTTAATAATTAGTAAAATTATAATTTAGATAATAAATACAAAAATAAATATTAAATTATGTAGTATATAGTCATATTTTTAAGTATTAAATCTCAATTACTAAAACTTTTCATTCAATAACAGGGTAAGAATAAAAAGGAAGAGACCATGCGCTGGCCTCCCCTGAACGCGGCACAGCATGTCACAGTTTTATCTCCATTTTCAGTTTCCCGCTCTTTATCCATTAAGGGTTCAGTGAATAGATATTACAGGGTGTTTCAATATTATGAGAAGTATTTTTAAAAAAAATATTTTTTTACAAATAATATAAATTGTTTTATATATTTATTTCATATCCTATAAAATTACTTCTAAAACTATGATTTGGTTTCTATTTAAATATCTATTAAGATTTGGCATGTTTAGCAACACAAGCTAGCTTTTGAGATCCAGCTCCTACCCACTATAAAAATACAATCTCTATCCCATCGCATCATTCATTTGCGGTAAAATATATTGGGGTGTCCGGCTATTAAAAAATAATTAATTTTATGCTACTAAATTTCACTTTAAAAAATGCGAGTCTCCTGTATATACAATTTTTTTTTGAAGGACTACAAAAAATGTATTCATAAGGTCCTCTGAAAATTTACATTTATGGCAAGATTTTATTGACATAGCACAAGTGTTGAAAAATAAAAGTGTTTGGGTGAAATAAAATCATAGTTTTAAAAATATTTTTACAATATATAAAAATATATATAAAAGAGTTTATCTCAATTTACGAAAAATATTTTTTAAAATATTTTTTCAGTAATTGAAACACCTCTGACTCTAACATAACAGCCGTGGATATGATGCCGAGGAAAACGGGCATGCTTTGGTTTGGTACTGTACCAATACAAACGCGCACCATTTGTATCTTAATGAAATGCCTAGCAACGTAAAACCAGATTAATTTTTGTCTGCATCTCATTAACAATTAAAAACCTGAACAAACAATGGTTCTTTTTTATTTTCCGAATGAAAAACAATGTTTCTTTTTAGCAAGTAGCCGGAAAACCCCGCTGCCTGCAACGCCAGACAACTTCAGCTTTGATTTACCACAAGCCACGGCCTGACCCAGGAGGGCTTTGGATGAAACCAAACTATAATTTAAAGAATAGCTTTTAAAAAATAGATTTTAGGCCTGTTTGCATTACATCCCAAACCATGGTTTGGGAACCAAAACCATTGTTTGGGTAAAAAAAGTTGCCAAATAGGAGATAAAATTAACAAACCATGGTTTTGGTCTGAAACCATGGTTTTGAACTCAAAACCGTAGTTTCAAAAAAAGTGAATCCATTCTGCTTCTGGCTCAAATTAGAAAGTATGATTGTGCCTGTCAGAGTAGATCTCAATGATAATATGATTTTAACACCCCTTAATTATTTTTTTATAACATATCTAATCTTATATTTTATAAATATATATACACATTAATTAATTATTAATTACATTATCTCACATGTTATTAATTATGTTAGTAAAAAATATATTATTAACAATTTATTCCTTCATATTAAAATATATTATAAATTCATCTTTTATGTAATTATCCTGTTAATTTATGCCTCATTTTAGTAATTAGCACATATAAAAAGTGCTTCTGATAACAGCTATCCAAACACTCTTACTTTTCAGAATCACTTCTTCACACAAATCTATTTTCTCAAGAATTTATTCTTCAAAAGCTATTTTTCAAATCATGATTTGGTTTATCCAAACATCCCTTTGTAAAAATGCATTTTGTAAAAAAAGTGATTTTGAGAAGTGAAAGTGTTTGGATAGTTGTTACTATGAGTACTTTTTACATGTGCAAATTACAACAAAGGGTATAAATTAATATGATAATTATATAGGGGATAGATTTTATATATATTTTGATTTGAAGAGATAAAATTGTTAATAAAATAATTTTTACTACATAATTAATAACATATAAGATAACATAAATTAATAATAATTAATAGAAAAATGATTTTTTTTCCGTTGGGTAATGGGTGAAATAATTGATGTTTGTGATCGGTGGCGATTTCGAGCTAGTGAAATAATGGGTGAAATAATTGGGGTGTTTTTGGTCAAATATACCGTTGGCCTTCTGACTTGTTCATTATTCAAATTTCAGTCTCCAAAAGTGACAAATTTCCGCTTCTAGGCAAACTATGGTTTTACCGCGTCAAACCAAGGTTTCAGAACAAACCAAGGTTCAATGTTATTTGGATGACATCCCACATAAATCATGGTTTTGCCTCCCAAATCATAATTTTGGGGGCACCCAAACAAACCCTCAGTCTTTCCTTTCTTATTGACTTATTGTCACAGTAGCAGTCCCCATAAATAGTGATAGCATTTTTTTTTTTGGGTAAATTAAAAGGACAACTATTACATGTAGAGGTAGGAATCAAGGCCGACTCGGTCCTCCAGGGTTGGCCCTTTAGGGTTAGCAAGCTTAAAAGAGTTGGCTCTCTAAGGTCGAAATTTTAAAAATACCACAATTTGTTAGTCCCAGCCCTTAAGCTAACCGGCTCAGTGTCGGCCCGCGGGCTTTTGGCCCATTTAAGAAAAAAAACTATTTTTTATACTTCTCATATTTTTTTCAAAAAATAAAAATAAACCAATAAAATTGTTAATAAAAAACATAAATATGAATAAAATTAAGTCACAAGCATTTTTGAAACTTCGTCATCACTACAATCAATTACTCCCCTTCATAAGTATGTTTTTTTTTCGTAACAAAAATATTAAGTTTTTCTTCTTTATAGGAAATTTACTTTTAAATTTTCAATCTAGTTATTATTTTACTTTAATGTGAAAAACATTGCTGTTGAAACTTATGAATTTCTAATTCAAATTATAGAATCACAAGTTATATAAGTATAAAAATACTCTATTATCAAATATATATTGTTTAAAATATCAACACGTATAATATAAATCAAATCATTATTAAAGTCCAAATTAACCTATTTTTTAAAAATTTAATTGGATAAATTATTGTTTAAAACTAAATAAATCAAATTATTATGTAAAATTTAATTTTAAAATGATAATAATAACTAAATATTTGAAATATTATTGAAAATGTAAAAAATTAATAATATTATAATTTCATAAAAAATTTACAAAAACAAAAAAAAATTATAAAAAGGCCTATACGGGCCAATCCTAGACCCTTTAGGATCGGTCCTTTTAAGTCCTCGGCCCTTCAAGGCCAGCCCTCTAGGGTCTGTTTCTCATTTCAGGAAAAAAATTTCAAATCCAGTTTTTATAATTTCAAAGTCTAAACACATCGGCCTAGGGTTCAGTCTGTTTTTCCGGTTTTAATTACATGCCCATTTTCCTTATAAGTGGACAAGAAAACTTTTCCGTTGACTCAAAGCACGTGAAGAATTGGGGGGGGGTGATATCCTGCAAATTACACATGATAATTATAATTATGATAATAAATAACAACGGCAATAATAAAACGAAAAAAGCAGGAATGATATTGGTAGCTATTCACTTCACACAGTTCGCCTCCACCAACACCGAGCTCCAGAACGAGTTTTGATCAGCTGAGCTTCATCACGAAATTGGAAATTCACCTCATGGCTCCTTTGAGGCGTTCTCTGAGATCTCTCCTTCAAAGTGAGGATGAAGAAGTTCAAAATCCTTTGACCATGTCCGATCAAGAGATCTTGGAGAAGGTTTACGCTACTCATGTACCCAGCGACACCAAGTTCGATGCCGACTCTCTTTTCACCATTGTCAACATCATCCTTCGGGGTTCCACCCATATCGTGGACAATGTCTTGGAGGGAAACGATGTGACCCTCAAGTTTGTCGATGACAAGCTTCCCCAAGCCACCTTCACTTCTCCATTGTACATGTTGAAGGAAATTTCTTCCAAGGTTGGTACTCCTTTAATCTTTCCGTTTTTCTTAATTTACGCGCATTTTCGCTTCAGTAATTATGGCTCGTAATTAGATGTTTCGGGATAGTCTGGTTTCTTCCGGTACACGGATTAGGAATTCAGCTAAGATAAATATATATGAAAGGGTAATGACGGTTGGATGGTGGCAGATGTGCTGCAAGATCCCCGGTGATGAAATTGCTCACAAGACTACTATGACGATTCTGAATTTGCTTTCCGACTATTCCTGGGAAGCAAAAGGTATTCTGACTCTTGCCGCCTTTGCTCTGGAATATGGCGAGTTTTGGTGGCTTTCTCAGCTTCAGCCAAACGATGAATTGGCCAAATCAGTAGCCATGCTGAAGCGAGTTTCTGCACTGACAAAGCCTGCAGCTCTGCGAGAACATTTCCTGGACATTTATGAGGTAAATAATCTGATCAAAGCCGCTATGCAAGTGATTGAGGCCGTCTTTGAGCTTCAGAAGCTCACCTCTTATGATACAGTGGATGTGCCTGCTTTGGCACATGCAATGGACCTTATTCCTGTTGGTGTCTATTGGGCTATTATCACTGTCGCAGCCTGCGTCACTCTGATTGATTGCCTCACTACTGATTCGTAAGTCATGCTTCATCTTAATTGTTCACTATGCCGCAAATATGTAGACTGACTATAATTGCTATGGTTTCAGGGAGCAAAGGCAGGAATTGTCCTATTTTGGGCAAAAAACTAGAATAGTGCTGGCCGAGTTGAGGAAGCTGATCCTGATCTGCAAGCAACAGATAGGTTAAGCATAAAGAGCTGTCTGATCTTCTAATATATAACGCTCTTACGAAGTTTTTAAGTAATTGTATTTTCCCTACTTTGAAGTGGAGCCGTGTAGGATGCTGATTAGATGATTTCTCTGTAATTACAGAGGAGTTGGAGTCCTATGGAAGGCTGGTGGAGCTCTTGCGAACCCCAACTGAAATAGTTGAGCTGTTTAAGGTCCTGATTTTCTCGAAGGATGGACCTCAGGAGCTGTTTGATGGTGCTACCAAACAAATGGTTTGTAACTCTTACTAGTACTACTGCTATTTCCTTGCAACCCTATACAATGAGGACATGTGAAACCTTTTTCTTTTCCAGAAAATGCGTTATCACTGATAACTAAGTAATTCTATTCGAATATAAGTACTTTGGCATAATTTCACTAGTTCCGCAGAAAGGAAAAACTCATTGAGGTCTGGCAACATTATGTTTGTTAATCGTACAGCCTAATTTGAGTATTCTGTTAAACTTGTATTGTAAGTTGTCCGCCAAAATATGCAAACAATCTGGCCCTGTTTATCCTGTCTTTATTCGGTGGTTTGCATTCTTATGATTTTGTTCAATTTGGTGCCTAAACAGGTTGACATTGATGTGCTGAGAATGAGGCATTTGTTCTTGTTCATTTCCACTCTAGAAATCACAGAGCAAGAAATATCAATTCTCTCTTCACTTTATGAATTTATCAAGGCAAATAATCAATATAAGATTGTGTGGATACCCATCGTAGAGGAGTGGAATGACCAGTTGCGCGAGAAATTTGAGATTCTGAAAACTACGATGCCATGGTACGTGGTGGAACACTTTGGAAGTGTGGCAGGGTACAAGTATATTAGGGAGGAATGGCATTTCAGGAAGAAGCCGGTGGTTGTGGTGCTGAACGCTCAAGGGAAGGTTCTTAACACTGATGCATTCCACCTGATTCAGGTTCAGGGGATGAAGGCCTTCCCTTTTACAGCCTCCAGTGGAACCAGAACTGAAACCAAGGTTGAAAGTAGCACCAACTGGGTCGAAACAGTTGTTTGCAATATACACCCCTCCATTGACCTTTGGGTATGCACTTTAGACCACACAATGCTCACCAAAGAAAAATGAAAATCTCTTCAGTGTCTTTGCTTTCAGCTTACATTAATCATTCAATTTGTAACTCATTGAAACAGATCAAGGAGCGTAAATACATATTTTTGTTTGGCGGCAATGACTCACAGTGGACTCGAAGGTTCACCAAGTACGCCACTGATCTTAAACATGAACCCATCTTAAAGAAAGCCAGGATTTCAATAGAGTTGTTCTATGTAGACGAGGACAGGAGCCTCTTAGGTCGATTTTGGAGTGGCATAGAGAGCTTGTTCGTGCCGCAGTCTTATAAGACTGTTGAAGCCGTGCCTGATGAAATACAGCAGATGATTTCACACAAGAACGAAGGAGGATGGGTTCTGTTCATCAAAGGAGCGTCTCTGGTGCTGAGTGGTCACGGCCCCACAATCTTGAAGACGGTGGCAGAGTTTGAGAGATGGAGAGAGAGCATGCTGAAGAATGGATTCGAGTTCGCTGTCAAAGAATATCACCAGAAGGTTAAAACATATCACGAAATGGTAATGCGCGGCAGCCGCAGCTGAGGGAGCTCCCAATTCTCCGGTTTAAAGCATAAGCCTGGCTGGTTGTGTTAGAATGAGGAAGAGTTTCGGACTATGCTTCTCTCTAGTCTAATAAAGATGCCTATGTTATCTATCTGGTATGCTTATGTGCTGTTGGCTTAGTTTGTATCTGTCAAATGGGGGGGGGAAAAAAAAAAAAAAGCTTAGTATGTGTAAGTTCCGTACCAGTATGTGTTTCTTGCTGTGCTAGGACACTCTTTGTAATGTTACATCTATGTCGTTTAATGTGTTAAGTTTAAATACTTGCCTGTTGACTTCATAGTTGTGCGATTAATTCTAAACAGGGATTACCTTGCTATGATAACTGATGGGAAACGTAGAGGATGGATTTTAGGATTTGAAAAGTCACATGAATAGTTGGTAATTCGTTCAGGTCGAGATACGCTTATTCTATAGTTCCTTTTTCCATCACCCCTTTATATTTTGTTAATTTATAATTTTTATCTCTCAAATTTATCTTGATGTTGATTTTAGTCCATCAAATTTTAAACTATAGATTTTGATTTAGATATTTATTAAATTATATAGATCAATATTTTAAATGAAAGAAAAAGGTGAAAATTTATAATTTGAAATTTAAAGAATCAAAACTAAAATAAAAATCAAAATAAAAAATTGAATTAATTTTTTGTTTTTTACCAAACAGAGACTTATATGCTCAATAGTTCTAAACTTCTAATGCCCTGTTTTTCTCCGTTTGTGTTTTTGGAACGAAGGGAGGGTATATACTAATTTTCTTCTGGTCACCTGATGCCCCATGATTTCGTGGTAATTTTCATTAAAAAATGTCCGACGTAATTTTTATCTTCGAAATGCTACATTTATAATTTTTGTAACTTAAGTAAAATGCAACCACTTGTCACGAGGACAAATATAAACTAATGAAATCAATTTGCTAAGCTTTTCCGATACTTAAATAAATTCTGTAAATCACTTTTTTTTCACATTATGTTTAGTTTATTAAATAGAACAAGGAAGCAAACAAAACTAACAACAAATTTGACTATGATTATGATGAAGGCAGTGTATTGATGATATGCTGCAGGAATGTCATTTTTTAAATTTTTTTGCTCAAAATTTTAAAATAAGAAAATAAGTTAAGAAAGTAAATAGTATCACATTAGTTTATATGTTCCTTATAAAAAATTAACCAAGAAATCGTTGTGAAAATACATCTAATGTCCCAACAGCTGGACCCGACTATCCTTTATAGTTTTTTTTTTTTTTGATCTGATGCTATCCTTTATAGTTGAGGCAACAGCAAAGTAGATAGGACAATAATTACACAGTACATATAACATATAATAAATTACACATTATATATAATTACTTATAAAAATTACATAATATGTTTTTTAAAATTAAGTGTTAATTTAATTTTTTGTCCCTCGAATTTAAATAAATTTTGGTTTAAATCTTCAAGTTGCAAATAATATATTTTGATTCTTTTAAAAGGTAAAATAGTTTATATATATTTTTTAAATTAAAACGATTGATATTTTAAATAAAAAAATTTTAAGTGGTTAGAAATCTATAATTTAAAACATGAGAGACTAAAATCAAAAAATATAATGATAAATTGAAGGAAATAAAAATTATATTCCCCTAATATTAAACCGGGGTGATAATTGATAAAAGGTGCCACGTGGAGGAGTTAAAAGGCAACTTTTGTGCGCAACAACTCAAGAAAAGTGAAAAAGAAAACGTGCGTAACAGAATGGGATTTGAAGAAAGAGGGATGCACAGTTTTCCTCCGTACTGACACTATAATTAAAGCTGCTTTTTCCCACTTTACTTTATTTAAGAGGTGGGGGCGAAGTCACGTGGGAGCAGAAACCGGATGAACCAAAGGTTAAAAGAAGTTTGGCATCGCACTAACTTTGGATGCGGGCTGGGAACAAAAACGTGCAATGGGAACGCGAGAATGAGGACAGAGTGAGAAAACGCGGCAGAGGCAGAGGACGAAATGAGGGTTATCGGGATGCGATCATTGGATGGTGTGTTTGCGGTTCACGTGACGTTGGTTTCACCCGATCATATCCCGTTCTGCTTCCTCTGCCTTCCAGTTTGGTAATATTATCAACATTACTTAATTAATTAATTACTACTTAATTACTTTATTTAGCCGGCTTGTGACACTGGGATTACTTAGACGACAATAACTAAATTTTTTAAACATGTCATGTTCTCTAGTCACATATATAACCATGTATTGTATTTTTGAAGTATTAATATTTAATTTATGAATGCATGTGAAAATAAAATAAAATTCAAGGGGAAATCATGTGGCCCATGATTTGTGCTTGCGTCTGTGAGTTTATCCATTTGAAGGGCATCTGAGCCTTTCAAATGAGGGGGGAAAACAGGCAGAGAGGAGATTTTTAAAAATAATAATAATAATACGACAATTTGTTCATATGGACAAAACCCCAAAAAAGAGTACGTCAGCGATGGGCCCAAGGCCTGACGTCATAGGCGCGACGTTTGAGGCGTTGAGCTGGAGGCCTGAAGCTGGACGTCGGGTCGTCCCCCCCGGAATCCCGACACACCCCCACATGTTACACGTTCTCCGTGTTTTTTTTCTCTTGCATAAAAAAAAAAAAAGTTTTGTTTTAGTATAGTCGTTGGGAAAAAAAAGTGGTTTTTATTACCAACCATCACTTGTTAATTAAAGTTTCTGAATGTTGCCCCACTTCAATTCATTAAATATAAGAGAAAACGTGGTCTAAATTTAAAATATTTTCATGCAAAAATGGGTAAAATTAAAAAATTATAATGAAGATAGAAATTAGAGTTGTCTTGTACATTCTCTGATCTTATTTATAAGTTTCAAATACAAGAATAAGGGTAGTTTATTTTATAAATTTCAGTTTGGAGTTGTCTTAATATTTAAGTTATTTTTAAATATTTTTAATTATTTCTCTGTTATCCCGCATTGTCTTTTATCCTTTTTCTTATTTACTATAAAAACATAATTAAAAATAAAAGTAGATTTATAAAAACATATGTAAAAGTAAAAATATATTGTTAACTAATTATTTGTTATCTTTGAATTAATTATCTGAAATGACAGCAGGGGACACTTTTGTTGTAAATTATAAATGAATGGCCTCCTCAGTGGTCCCTCCTTCGTCTCTACGCTCTTTATGGTTCGCCCCACTGTCATCAATTAATAAATGCCCTGCGATCAAAGGCGCCTACCGTGTGGCCTTCGCTGTCGCCTTCCATGAGTGGGAATGGGGATGGCGTTTGGTGATTAAAATAAGACTGAAAATACATCAGAGAGTGAAAAATAAAAAATAAAAATAAAAATCATCTCCAACTCATGGCACAGCCTGAGCCTCTTGTTCTTTTCGGCTTTTTGCGTTTTCACTGTGCTTGTATGACTTGCATCATTCTGAGTCCACATTTCTGAAGCACCGTTTTCGTCCTTTCGCTGGTTCCTGTACGTTTGCGTATCTACTAAGGGCCTGTTTGGATATCCCCAAACCGTGGTTTCAGAAGCACTTTTTCATAAAACGAGATAATCTCCTCCACATATTTACTTCGTAATCCGTAAAAACACTTCTGAAACCATGGTTTGGATTCTATCCAAACACACCCTAAGTGTAAACGTTTTCTGCAAACGCGTCTTTCCGATTTTTTTTCCTCAATATAAGATAAGGCTGGGAAGAGATTTTAAGAAAAATTGCAAAAAAAAATAATCCTGAAAATTAAAAATTACACACAGAAACTTGTTCACGAAAATTATTCTCATTTGCCTATCAATCACTGACGAAACCCATACAAATATTATAATAGGTTCCTATTTGTAATTTTTCTATTTTTAGGGCTTTTTTGTGATTTTTTAAGATTTTATTTTAACTTATATTATTTTGGATTCTTAAGTTAGTTAAATAATTTGTGTAGATTAAGAAATTTTATTAAATTAATTATTTATAATAAATATGTCATAAAATATCTTTCTTAATAATATATATTAGTTAAAATTATCATTTGATACAAAATTTAACATGTGTAATTATTATAAAAATTACTTTAAAAAATAGATAAATATGATAAACAAAGTAAAGTAATATCTTATATTTAGGGTTAAATTAAATATCAAAGTAATCTTCATATTAGGAATCCGCAATGGTATAAAAATACTGATAAGCATTTAAAATTTAAAATAACTAAATACAAACAAGCCCGCAAGTCGTGCTGACTTTCTTTTCTTTATCTTTCAAAGTACGATGAAACTAATGAACTCATAAATGCATCATAAGCTACGACTTAATCTTATGTTTTCAAAATCCATCTAAAGCGTGACGGATTAGATTAGGCGGAGATCCATCCCTTACGAACAAATATTAAAATAAAACACGAAAATACAGATTCATTGGGGGGGGGGGGGGAAGAAAAAGAACACCGAAATGTATAGGAGTTAAAATGTTTGTTAACTTTACGGAGGCAGCCTTACGCTGAGTGATTCGCACAAAATTCATATAAGTGAGGAAGTGGTGTTTTTTATCAAAATCTCCTCTATTAACACCGACATTTAGGGCAGAAGATAATACAAAATCTTCTTAACATCTACCCCTTTTTATAATACATAATTCAGAAACTTTAACATTTTTAAAAAATTAAAGATCACCTGTTTAATGATGTTTTCAAAATTTGCTATATTTAGTTGGGTGCAAGACGTGGGAAAACAAGAAAATTATTCAGAACAAACAAGCTCATTGATGGGCATAATTTTGAGAATGATGCATTATTTAGTAACGAAGAGAATATTTGCTATAATTTTATGTTCAGCCTGCTTAGCTCACACATTCATGTTTCTTTCAAGCCTTTCTATTTGTAAACATATTTTTTTCACACAAATATACGCCAATAAATATGCTCGATGCTTTGGTTTGAATGTTTCTTTCTTTTTCTTTTTCTTTTTCTTTTTTAACATGGCAAGCAAGAATTATATATTGCAAGTTATCTTAACTTCATAAAATGTCATGAATAATGTAATTGATTTTTCAAACTCACGAAACCATAATGATTTTGACATAAATATTTCTATTTAAATTAAAATTTATTATTTTGTATGTCAATATTAAAATAGGATATCTAACAAAACAATCAAGACAAAATATCCCTAATCTCTATCCTGAAACGCATCCAACATCCAGGAACCAGGGGATCCAGAGCCAGTAATGAAAATGTGAAGAGAACCTTAAGCGTTTGAGGGGGGAAACCACTTTTTT